TGGGTTGCTTGTCTTATGCTTATTGATTTGCAGAAATGCTTTCTATATTCTGGATACCAGTTCTTTGTTAATTAAATAAAATGCATTTGTCTTCTGTTTGTGCTTTCTCTTTTTTTCATTTTTAAAAGGATATGGGCTTTTTATGTCTTACAGAATCTTTCATAATCGGAAGTTATAAACAATATTCTTGTAGAATTTCTTCTAGAACTTTATGTCCAGGATGTTACTGCATGTGGAGTTGATTTGTAAATAGTATGAGGAAAGGATCCCAGTTTATTCCTTATATATATTTGAATAACCATATATATGTTGTCCCACCACCATTTCTGGACATTAATGTCCTTTCCCTATTGATGTACAGGACTACCTTAGTCATCTGTGTGTGGCTTGATTTCTGAGCTCTCATCTGTGTACTGGTTGTTTTATTTTCTATCTTTGTGTCATGTTACTATACATTTGTTTTAAATCTTGATTTCTGGTAAGGCAACTTCCTCGAACTGGTTATTCTTAAAACTTGTATTGGCTATTCTTGGCTCTTCTCCTTCAGGTAAGTTTAAAATCAGCTTGCCATGGTCCATGGCACAACTTTTGGATTTGGGGTTGGACTTAAATTTATAAATGCATTTGAGAATTGATATCTTGATGATATTGAGTCTTCTGTCCATGATTATCATACATTTCTTCAATTATCTCTGTCTTAACTGAAGTCTTTGATAAAGTTTTGTAATTTCTTCTTTAAATGTCATATATCTTTTCTTAGATTTATCCTATATACCATACAGATTTTGTTGCTGTTGTAAATAGTATTTTTTTTAAATCTACATTTTCTTCCTGGTTTTTGCTAGTGTATAGTGTATTTATTACTCATGTATCTCAAAACCTTAACCACTTACCACTTATGAATTCTAGCATTTTGTCTGTTAATATATTTGGGTTTCCTATGTAGAAAATCTTATTGCCTGTGAATAATGATAGTTATTTCTTTGGTTCCAATGCTTATACTCTTATTTTAAATTTTTTTATTTTAGTGCTGAGTTCTGTCCTCTGGTACAATGGTGAATAGAAGGGATAACCATGCATATCCTTGTCTTAAGTGTGATTTTCAGGGGAATGCTTCTAACATGTCACCATTAAGTATAATATTTGCTGTGGACTTTTTTTTCCCTCATAATTACCATTTAACTATGTATAAATTGCTAGCTTCTAAGCTAAATTCCTTGCTTTTAATCCATAGATCATTTTTTTAGAGAACTCACATCTATATTATATTATATTACATTATATTATTCAATATTATTATATTGAATTCCTTATTCATGAACAAAGTAATGCTCTCCGTTTGTCTAGGTCTTTATTAATATCTGTTCAGTAATATTTTATAGGGTTTTTTTTTGGTGTTTTTTTTTGGAATATCTTTGTTAGAATCATTCCTACATGTTACCTGTTTTAATGCTATTGTATATGGCAAATCTTAAACTATCACTGTGGTTTTTAGCTGTTTTTTCTTTTTGCCTTCCTACACTCTTTTTTTTTATTTTTATTTTCCAAACATTTGCTTAAAAGAATTTTTATTTTCCAAACATTAGCTTAAAAGAACATTAAAAGTGTTAGAAATACAAATCTGACCTAATGGTTAACATCAGAACAATTACAAAATGTTTGAATACATCACATATTTTGCATCACAGCAAAGCATCAAGAGAACTAATTAATATACCCTGCTAACTAGTCAAAGTCAACTGAATTCTCAATACTTTTATTAAAGTTCTCATTTTAGCCCTTATGGAGAAGTTACATATGTCTATATCTTTACCTCCATATAGATATTGGTATAGAGAGACATATATTACTTAGTGAAGAGACAAGTAATACATACCTGCCTCTGTCTCCACATCTACACATATCTACACACAGACAGAGAGACAGAGACAGATACAGATGCCTTCCTACACTTTTACTTACTTTCTTAAATACTCAACTGCATATTTGAGCAATTTTTTTTATGTTTTATTTAGCATATCACTGTGTATTATAGCTAGTTTTTTTTTTTCCAGATTCTCTAAGGCATCTCAATTTGGCACTATTGGCAATATAGGGCTGGATAATTGTTTGTTGAGGGGAGTGTGCATTGTGTAATGTTTAGCAGCATCCCTAGATGCCAGTAGGACCCCCTGGTTATCATGACCAAAAATGTCTTGAGACATTGTCAGATGTCTCCTGAGGGGCAAAATTGCCTCTGATTAAGGCATTGAGTTGGCCTATCATATTGCAGAAATTCTCCTTATCTTCTTGAACCTTTTAAGATCTTTATTTTAAACTCTTTCAGATATAGTTTCCTCGGATGTGTATTTTATTTGTTTTGTCTTCTGTCATTGTGAATTTTTGTTTGTGCACGGTAATTTATTATATAATTGGATTGTGTCATATGCCCTGGGTTGTGAAGGTGACCTCATGAGGTGGTTTGGAGTTTGCCTCTCAAGACCTTATGGGCTCCCCTAGTCTGAGAGTAATTTTTATGTTAATTTCTTGGTTTGGGCTTAAAAGAAACCTTAACAAAATAGTGATTATTTGGACTGTAACCCTCTATCTCCCTTTCATGCTCCCCATTGTCAAGTGCTTGTCACCTCTAGCCCCAGTTAACTCTCCCCAACACCACCCCAATGGATAAACACTGGTATTTTGCTGCATCTGGTTGGCCTGGCTCAGCACAGGATCTGTAGTTTTCCTTTTGATATTTTCTTTGAATATGCCAGATGCTACCACTGAGTAATTTGGATTTTACTGCCAAACTATACCTCCATTAGTACAGAGGGAAGACAGCATGCCAGTTCTCTTGCTGAGTGCGCGTGACTGTAGGAAGCGGTCTTGCGTGTAATGGTTGGGGGAAATGAACTGAGCAGATAATATTTTTAAAAATAATTGTCCAATTTTGTTAACTCTTGATGGCATTGTTATATCATTGATAATTATGAACTACAAAAGTTATTGTTTTTAAAAATAGGGAATTGAACATTTCATTTCTAGTGGTTCTGTGTGGTTCTTTTTCAGATCTGTCTGGTGAATATAGATTAACACCCCCTTTCTTCTTGTATTTAATGACTTCTTACTTATTTTATACCTTCTAATGTGTATAAATATTTTATAGGTTAATTTATCATAATCACTACTGACAAAATTGTGACTTGTAGTTAATAGAAGAACTTGATCTTCTTTTATGGAAACCAGTGGTTAAGTTAAAGTACTGTTTGCCTGTGAGTGGAGAATAGACTTAGGCTCTCCAGGATACATAAAATTAGTATTGAGCTTTCAGATTTAAAAAAAAAACAAAGTAGTCTGAGTACTACTTTTTCTGCTTCCATTGAGCAATCACTTAGTAAATTTCATTTCTCCAGTTATTCAAAATGTCTGTACTTAAGTGAGGCTTGGATGAATGAACATGGAATTGGCATAGACACACCAATACTTATTT